TAACCTAGGCACTGGTTTGAAAGGATTTCACATCTGGGTGTAGATTTTTACCATTTCCCTTTGGAATGGTAATTGTAAGATGTTCAAGGGGGGGTCTACTAGGAAAATGATTTTTCTAATCTTATTTTCACAGGTTCATTTACCTGGCACAGGTAGAGTATTTAAAATGTTTATACTTAACATCTAACTATTTATTATGTTATCTGATATATTAAGCCTTTCTGGGTCTCTACATAGCCTCTGTGTTCCCTTAAATTATAATAGTTCTTATTGACCTCACCATCCCACTAGCATAGACAGGGTTTGTCAACGATAAATGAATCTGTTTCTGGATTCAGTTGTAGTTTCTGTATCTGCCACTTTATATTTATTGAAGATATTTCTTTTTACTTTTGCATGGCCAGTGCAACATTCTGGACCGTTTTCCTTATTTCCGGAAACAAATGCCAGCCTGATTAAGATCTACATTAATTTAATACCAGGAACGAGACATAGAGCCAAACAGCAAGGCTGGAACATGAAGAAGGATCTTAATCGAGATTAATATTTTCCTGAGCAGTCTGCCAGCTGAATCATGGTCTAATTAAATAGCACAGATTTAGTGAGTTTGCATTTAAGTGTTAGCAGACTCTAGGATGAGTAAAGCTGAAATGATTTTGCATCTTTTCTCTAAATGGGAAGTTAAATTATAGTAATTCAATTAAATCATTTTAAAATCTTTCAAGCTAAATCAAAGAATTTAAAGAAATCTTAATAGCTGTTTGTGAACATCTCTCGATACTATTTGTTCTCACCTCATTTCCTGTGACATACTTCTATATCTCCCAAGGCACAGCTGCCCAAACTCTGCCCATGAACCACTGGCTGTCTGCGGAGTACACGCAGGTGGTCCTTGGAGAGTTGGCTGGTCACTTTGTTTCCCACTGCCAAATTGATTTAAAAGACAGCAAAAAATACATTGCGACTATTACTTTTCCATGTAAGCAATTGCTCTGTGTACCCCAGGGATGCTATATGATCACCGATGGGAAAGGAGGGGAGCTGCAAGACAATCCCTCTCTTAAGATGTAGTCCACACTGTAAAAAAGTTTGAGAATCTGGGGTGTAACAGCTGTGTGATGTCACAGATTCTGATTTGCTTTCCACCTTCATTTTTTCTGTCTGTTTTTTTTTCTTCTCATAATCAAATTCAGTGTGAGGGAAAAAATGTACAGGCAGCATGCATTCATAAAGTCATATGGCCAGAATTTAATCTGAGCTGCACTGTTACAGATCTACAGGATCACCATTGATTTCAATGAAAGTCTTCCACTCCTCTGAGGAAAATATTACAAAACCCATATATCAATGCAGACTGCCACCCATCCCTTTGAAATTCAAACTTCACATCTGCTGCATAAAACAAAGAGCTACCCAGTTAGGAATAATCTGGACAATTTTGTAGAGGGTAGAAATTGGCAAACATTTAGTGCCAATTTCTAGAATGTTATTGCCTCTTTTTGCTCCTCTGTTGGCTGGAGAACAGACAGATTTGGCAAGCTGAATTTCTCTGACATGGAAGAGCTCTCAGCTGGCACAGAGCCAAAATACCCAGCTCCTACACTAGCCCCTAAGCATAGCCCTGGCAGAGGGCATGGTGGGGCATAGTCTGCACACACTGTGATTTAGCAATCCATGGTTAATGGACATTTCCTTGGGGACTGTTATTAGCCAGCAGAGTTTAGAGCAGCCCCCACATTGCTCTAAAACTCCATTAGGAATAGCCCAAACCCAACCAGAGAATCAGGGATCTGTAATTAGAAACTTGGCACAGCAGAGAACCTGGCTTTTGAAATGCAGTGTAAATGTTTGCAAAGAAATCACTTTAAATAGAGTCCAGTGGATGATCAAGAAGTGTTTGTTTATTAATGTTCAATTCAGTAGAGTACTCTATGTTTACACCAGTATAATTAAGATCAGAACCTGTGTGTGTGTGTGTGTGTGTGTGTGTGTGTGCTATACTCAGGGATTTACCTTTCATTGTCCCAGGTAAATAATATTAACTAACTGGTTCTATACTAATACTAAGAGGTGAAAGTTGAAGTTGTTACAAAAGTAACAAAAAAGGCAGATTTGGGTGATGGGAACAGTGCTAAAATTTTACTGATTTTCCTTTTTAAATTTTTTAATCCTTACTCCCTCCTTTATATACTTGGTTTTTGTTTTTCCCTTTTAATTTTTTTAGACCTGACTACCTTGGTGCACGGTATCTAATCTCAGCAGTGTGTGCTTCTTAGGGCATGTATTCTCTGAGACCTAGAATTATTAAACATGTAAAACCCCCATAGGACTCCATTATGTGTAATTAACAGATAAACTGTCATCAGAATCAGTAATACGTGCTAAATGATCCAAACTTGTATATAATTGTCTGTTTCAGAGCAAGAGCTATAACTTTTTTTTTCAGTTTGCAGCTTTCTTTCAAGATGGAACATTAACCTTTCTTTGTTAACCTCTTATTTACCTGTGTTTGTCATGTTTTTTTCACAGTCTTTTTAGTAAGAGGTGTATTTCCCACATGCTGAAATTATCTGAGAAAACATGAATTAGTAGGAAATTTGTATCTTATCTCTAGGATGTACTTCAGGTTCCTGGGCCTAATCCTGTAATTGTTACTCACTTGAGTAACTTTTACTCAAACAAATAGTCCAATTAAAGCTAATGGAGCCACATGCTTCAACAAAAATTACTTTGATAGGTAAGAGTTGCAAAAATTAAACTCATGGCACACAACCTGATAGACTGTTATTTTCTGTAGGATAAAACTGACAAATCAGGTGCTGTGTCAGCCATCAGGTAGTGATGCTGCTTAATACAACAGAAGAAATAATTATATAAGTGTATTTTGGCTACAGGAAGAAGTTTCACTTAATCATTGTTCCATCTGAAAAAAGAGCTTTGCTAAATAGTCAAAAATTAAAATCAAAACTACAGTGCTATGAAAATGGGTTTTATATTGAATGGGCCTCTTGAGGAAATACTCTTATAATGCAATGGACTCACTACCCCACAATCAACCCTAGTGTAAGTTTGCACAACTTCACTGATTTCCTTGAGTGTGCACCCATCTGCCGTAGTGTTACATGTGGTCCATTCTCTAACTGAATAGGCAACAAGGCCACAATTTGATTGAGTTAACCCTCGTGATAAATAGTGTATAAGGCTGTGGTACTTTATCAAGCTCTCTTAAGATGATGCACCCATCTATGTGTTGGTAACTGGAGGGGAGTGCCAATGTCTACTCTTTCTTTCACCACACTTTTGACAACTGTCCTGGAGATCCAACTGGTCTCCCCATATAATCAAAGAATGCTTGCACACTAAGGCCTACCATACTTTGGGTTAGAAGCCCTGGCAACGCCACTCATTCTACCTTAGAGAGTTAGGGAGTGTCCCAGATCAACCTCCCATAAGTCCTCTGGTGATGGTGGTGTTGATACATGTTACAGAAGAAAAAACATTTCTTCCCCCCTTCATCTCCCATCTGCTGGGGAGCAAGGGAGAAAAAGTGGCTATTAGGTCCCTGTGCTAAGTATTGAGTTGCCTTAAGTTTCAATCCTGTTAGAAGATATAAGAAAGCAACTAAGAGCTAACACAGACAAAAAGAATGAGAAATTATTATTTTATTATTATTACATAACAAATTTCATTTCAGAAACCATATCTAGGCAATTTAGGAGAATGACTTTTTGACTTCTAGGGAAGGATAATCAATTGCAAATGATGTACCCAATGCCTATCATTGCCCTCAAGATAACATATTAGGTTCTCTCAACTTTACATACTCTGAACCACTTCTTTCATGGACCACCTTCCCCTTCCCTCACCCCAAAGCTCCCATTATTTATCTCTGACCTTTCCTGCGGTATTTATAGTTAAAGGAAATAGTCAGAGGATTAGGACTATAAATTTAAAATACACCCATTTTGTTGCAATGCTTTGGTTTCTTGATTACATCTCCTTGCTTTGTATCTGTGCTGTTTGGGACTTTACATTTGTTTGGACTGAATCTCCCTTTGTTGCCTGCAGCTTTCACTGCTCAAATCTTTCCAGGTCACTTGGCAGTTCAGTTTGGTTCCTCCTATGTGTTTTGATTAGATCTCCTATTCAAATCTGATAACAGCTGGCAAAGATAGATATAGAGTAGCCAGGCAAGATGCAGAGAGGCATTTGGTTTGTTGATTTTTTTAAAAGGTTTAATTGGCAGAAGTAACTCTATAGGATCCAAACTTTCTGGGCGGGCTACATCTAGCAGGATATATCAGTGTTACGAGGCAGAGACAGCTCCAAGTGCCACCCGTATGTGTTCTGCAGACCACAGTTTGAGAACCACTTCATTAGAATCTATGTAAGGATGACTGGCTGAGAGGGAAATTTCCTTGCTAGCCCAAGAGGGAGGAAAGAAGTCGTCACATGCACACACACATCTTCTTTGTGTCAGCCAGTGCGACAGACCAATGGCTCTGTTTTTCTGATCAATGGCATCTCGGTCTGTAACCATGGAGATTGCCATGGATTGGTGCCACACTTTTTGAAGGGAGTCATTCTTGCAGACCTAGCAATATGGGCTGTGATTGAGAGGGGCTCTGCCCTTTCATTACTATCATGTCTGTGTAGCTAGAAAATGACTGTATGAAATTATTTGTGTAGTTGAATAGATAGTTTTTAACTTTTTTTTTATATATACATAAACTTAGCACCTTTACAGATGGCAATTCCATGTGTATAATTACACAAGGAGACACAAATATTTTCCTGAAGGTCAATATAGAAATAAGTGGATAATTATCTAGCTTATCCCTAAAACAATATGGAAAATACAACGTAAATCCATGCAAATCCATCAATAATTATGGTACGGTTACTTACTACAGTGCAAGTTACAGTCTAGAGCCGTTACACTGTAATTCAACATTCTGGCACACTGAACTGAAAACTGATGTCGCTCTTTTGTTTTGTAGACTCAATGCACATAGAAGATGTTGAAGCAGTTCAGAAACTTCAAGATGTCTTACATGAGGCTCTACAGGATTACGAGGCTGGGCAGCATATGGAAGACCCACGCCGAGCTGGCAAGATGCTGATGACTCTCCCACTTCTGAGGCAAACCTCCACTAAGGCCGTGCAGCATTTCTACAACATCAAACTGGAAGGCAAAGTCCCCATGCACAAACTTTTTTTGGAAATGCTGGAGGCCAAGGTCTGACTAAAGCATCATGGGCCTTCCCATCATGCTCATTGAAAAAAAGGGAAAATAAACAGGATAATAATGGCAAAGAAACTTAGTGTTTAATTAAGGAAAAAAATGACTGCACTGATATTTAGCAGCAAGACTGTGAAGCAGCTTTCAACTCTTTTTTTCTGTGTCTATCTGATGCAGTTTTCCTTTTTCCTTTTCTCTGCTTTCCTTTTCTGTTCTTTTATTTCTTCCTTTTCCTTTTTTCCCCCTTTGCTGCTGAACTTTTTAAAAGAGGTCTCTAATTGAAGAGAGATGGAAGCCAGGCCTGCCAAAGGATGGAAATCCATAATATGGATGCCAGTGAACTTATTATGAACTATAATGTCCCCAGTGACAAAGGAATCAAAGAAAGAACCATCATACCTTGCAGTACAGTACAACACGACGAACTGACTGAATGCAGTATTAGATTTCATAGGAGCAGTCTCTAATTAGACAACTAAGCAACGATGCATCGGCTGCTTCTTATCATTGCATTTTCCATCTAGATCAGTTACAGCCATTTGATTCCTTAATTGTTTTTTCAAGTCTTCCAGATATTTCTTAGGTTAGCTACAATGTAACTTTTTCAGGGAATAGTTTAAGCTTTATTCATTCATGCAATACTAAAGAGAGAGAAAAAATACTGCATTTTTGTGCTGGCTTGAACAATGATGAACAATAATGAAGGACAAATGAATCCTGAAGGAAGATTTTTTTAAATGTTTTGTTTCTTCTTACTAATGGAGATTTTTTTGTACCAGCTTTACCACTTTTCAGCCATTTATTAATGTGGGAATTTATCTTACTAAAGCAATAGTTGAAGGGAAGGTGCATATTATCACGGATGCAATTTATGTTGTGTGCCAGTCTGGTCCAAAACATCCAGTTTCTTAACATGAGCTCCAGTTTCTAACTAAATGTTCACTGACACAAAGGATTAGATTACACCTACAATATATCTGAGTAGTCTAATGTCAAGTACAAATCTATAAAGATGGTAAGAGAACGTGACTGTACAAATGTACAGTTGCTACATGATTTCTAACTGATTCAGTTGTAAATGAATGAGATACTGCCTGTTACTTGCAAAATTATAACATTCTCACACAAAGATCTGTGAACCAATACTAGCTTAGAGGCAATACGGCAAATGCCAATGTTTGCAAAATTAAGAAATCAGAGTAGTAGACTTCTGACCAAATTCAAGAATTTAACACTTCTACACTTTATTAATTTAGACTTTATTTTGTAAATTGCAATTTTTAACAAGTAGCTAAATCAATATATGTGCTTTTCAACCAGTATTGTCACAGCATGAAAGTCAGTCAGTTTCAAGACTGTTAAGAGGTGTAATCTAATGTATAAGCCAATTAGATGCCCCCAGAAAACTACAGTCGCTAAATAACCAATAAACAATAACCTCCATCAAATGCTATACCAATGTACCAGTGTTAGTAGCTGCTCCCTGTACTATGTGAACATCCTTATTCTATGTACACAGATGTAATTAAAATTGTAATCCTAACAAACAAAAGAAATGTAGTTCAGCTTTTCAGTGTTTCATGTTTGCTGTGCTTTTCTGAATTTTTATGTTGCATTCAAAGACTGTTGTCTTGTTCTTCTTGTGGTGTTTGGATTCTTGTGGTGTGTGCTTATAGACACAGGGTAGAATTAGAGACAATATTGGATGTACAATTCCTCAGGAGAATACAGTAGTATATTCTATTCCTTACTGGTAATAAGGTTCTTCCTAGTAATAATTAAGAGATCAAAACTCCAAACAAGTACTCATTATGAACAGATACACATTGAAATCATAATATTTTCAAAACAAGGGATAATTTCTGTAATAGTTTATTATAGAATACCAATGTATAGCTTAGAAATAAAACTTTGAATATTTCAAGATTATAGATAAGTCTAATTTTTAAATGCTGTAAATATAGCTTTTATTCAATCATCTCTCAGATGTTGTTATTAACTCGCTCTGTGTTGTTGCAAAACTTTTTTGGTGCGGACAAGTTTCCAAAACTATTGCTACTTTGTGTGCTTTAAACAAATACAGTAGGCTGATGGTGCATCAGCCTTGTGCTAGAAAATACTGTGTATCTATCATTAGCTATATGGGACTATATTGTAGATTGTGTTTTCTCAGTAGAGAAGTGACTGTAGTGTGATTCTAGATAAATCATCATTAGCAATTCATTCAGATGGTCAATAACTTGAAATTTATAGCTGTGATAGGAGTTCAGAAATTGGCACATCCCTTTTAAAAATGACAAAAACCTACAA